TAGAGTTTTTTGGGTCTTTAAGGTATAGGATCATGTCGTCTGCAAATAGGGATATTTTGACAGTTTCTTTACCTATTTGTATTCCTTTTATTCCCTTTTAGAACTCTTTTTAGTACTTCTCAGATGTTAGTAATTTGCAGAATGAGAATCACAGCAGCTTTTAAGTGTTTAACTCATTTTAACCCACTATGCTTATATTTAAGAGTACCCCTCTAGCTACTGCCAAAATTCAAAACTCTTCTTACAATACTCTACAGTAACCACCAATAAAAAAAAATTTTTAAGTAAAAAAAAACTTACTCATGATAATAGACCTATTCAAACCTTTCTTACTCAGTGTAATATGGTTTCAAAAATGGGATTCTTTATTTTCACTGTTTTCAGCAGTAACAGACTCCCTATACACCCAAGCCATTGTTGAATTAAAGGGACATTTTCTATAAATGATAGTCACACCTAGATACATAGCTAACATAACAGAGCCAAACATACCAAAATTAGTGGCTAGGTAGTAAAAACAACCTATTCTTTAGTGGCCAACTACATTTTTCCTCCCAGGAAGTTTTCTGGCAAGATGAAATAAGATAACTTTAGGCAAAGACATCAAGAATTACTAATGTAAAAAAGGAAAAAAAAAAAAAAAAACTAATGTTTCCAGGATAACAATTTGGTATACACATAGATGACCACATTTTTAAGATTCAGATGTAAGAATATTACAGAAGTTTGATAAACTAATTAAAGTTGTAATCAGTACTTTAAATAAAAATATAACTGAAAATCACACACAACCACTGTTCTGACAGATTTCATCACTTACAAACAGAAGACTCTGAAATTAGAACACCCAGCTTATACATATGGCTGCCACTTGGCAAGTGGAGTTCTGGCAACACTAGTTCCAACCTGTCAGCTACATTATGGGATAAACTGAGAATCTGGTCACTTGGCCACTATTTCTAGTGCTATCTATAAGGGAAAATGTGCTCTGTGTTGACATCAACTAAATTAGAAGTATTCTTTGGGAATGAAAAACCCACTTATAAATTTGGAGTTTTTCTAAATGTTAAAAGAACACTTACTTGCATGCTGAAAGTAGTGCAGCAGTGGTGAAAAGCGGCCTGGATAAGTCAAGATCTACTTGCTGTGTCTGGGGAAGACTGGACTCATAGCTAAAGCAGAGTAGCATTTGCAAAATTACTAGTCAGAAAATAACATTTCAAAAGGGAGCGAAATGCAAATCAGAACTAACAATATAAGCTCTCAGTCACTTTAACATCTTAACTATTTTTTTAAGACTGAAATTACCCAGAATAGATTACTGGGTGACGTGCCTCATCTGTTAGCATAAATTTTCAATTAAGGTTTATTATGCCCATACCTTTGCAGGATCTTTGAAGCCATGTTCACTGCTTCTGTACAGCTGAATTGTACAGCTAGGTCTCTTATTTCAATATTCGAATTCAGGCCCAATAAACACTCAAAAGATTTAAGATAGCTCTGATACATCTTCTTGTTCAAACCAGAAAGTTTAATTAAATAAGCCTTTGAAAGGAAAAACACACAAATCATAATTTCTATATATTCTACTACCCTTATGTACTTATGGTATCAGGTGTTCAAAATTAATTCTGTGGCAAGTCACTCTACCTAGAAGTTTAACTTCATTTAATAAAAAATCAGTAATTGTGTCAGACTACTGCATCCTAGAAGCTCATATTGTAGAAAGGCAGTCATAGGTATGCACAGAAAATTTTAAAACAATTATATAGTATCAATATGTCCAAGCTGTGAGAAAAAAGTGGGGGACACCTATATGGTCACTTGTTTTTCAACAAAGGTACCAATGTGCAAATTACTGGGAAAAAGAATGAGGGAAGTGGTGGGAATGTAATGAGATGTGTGTGTGGAGGAAGGAGAGGGAGATGATGGGAAAGTAGGAGAGAAACAGGAGGATCCACCACTGTGGGGAACCAACTGCCTGGGAGAGTCAAAGAGAGCTTCAAAGAGGATGTAACAGCAAGGGGGGGTGGGTCACATAAGACAGTTTGCCAGAAGATCATTCCAAGAAATAAAATGTTGCATTTACAAAGCTACAAGTTATTAAAGTACACAAGTTTGTTAACTGAATATGGTAGCTTGAGGCCAAGGGTTCAAGAGAGATTGGAGGGTCTGATGGTAATAGGACGCCAACGGAGCTATCTTTTTTTTTTTTTTTTAACATTCAGACTACTTAATGAGTATATCCATTATGACACAGGTACTGTGCTAAGTGTTAACATACAGCATATTGGCCTCTATGAAGAAAAAGATGATGATGGTCAGGGAAACTAGATAATAAAGAATAAAGAACACACTGCAAAAAAAAAAATTTTTCCCAACTTGACAAAATGTTTCTAAAGTTTATCTAGAATTACATGAGAATAGCCAAGACAATTCTAAAATGTAAGAATTTTGGTCAGGGTCTATTCCAACCAAAATTAAAATGTAGTGGTTAAGCTTTAGTGCTGCACTAGATTATTCAGACATTCAATAGGATTTACTTACCCTGTCCAAGGGGCACTTCATCCAGGAAGCTGCAAGGTCCAGGCACATGACTGCATTGCTGGTCTCTGTGGTATGTGCAGACAGACCAATACACTTCACCTGGGACAGTCGCAAGTACTCCTCTGCTTTCCTGGTTGTAAGAGAAATGCATTCAGTAAAAACGGTTTCAGAAGTTTGCCCACCTTAGGTTAAGCAGTGAATAGACTTCATCCTGAGCCTAATTACTGTGCACGTTTATTTGGGGCTGCGAATGAAGCTCACAGCCTTTTGGGAAAGGAAGTTCTAAAAAGATAGGACCACAGCTCTGACTCCGGACATCATGGTGCCTAAGCGCTTTGAGGCAAAAGTAAGTTCAGTTCCTCCAAAAAAACAACCCCTTCCTCCCTCCATTACTGCAACAAACAAAAATAATCAAAGCAAACAAGTTAGATCAGTGTTCCTCCTTTTTTTCTTCCTTAAAATTAGTGGTTCTCAACCTTTATTGTACCTGACAATCACCTTCGGGGGCTTGTGAAAACAGATTCTGGGTTCCATCTCCAGTCTCTGGTCAGTAGGCCAGGGCGGGGACCAAGAATTTGTATTTCCAACAAGTGCCTAGACGACACTGCAAGTGCTGATTCAAGACCACACTGTGAGAAGCGCTGTTTTAAAATGATCATATGTCCCATCTTAAAAATCTTTTAAGAAGTGCTCTTCCCCCTCACTCCCTTCCTTCACCTAACAGCTGAGGTACTAGGCCTAGTTCTGCTCTACACGCTGGGCTGCAATGGCTCCATTTTAAACCCAAGATCATGCAGAGATCCTCCCAATCTCAAGGCTTTTGTAGCGGCCGTTGGTTGTCTGGGCCGCTCTTGCCACGCCTGGCACCTTCTGTTTATTTGTCGGGTCTCAGAGTAAATGGCCCCGCAACCTCTGGGGTCTTTCCTGGATTTTTATGAAAGGTGGCCATCTGGCAATCGCACCAGCATGTCACCCTGTCTAATGCTCTACAGAGTTCTTGCCACATACAAACAGTGATCGCCATACGAGCTGTGCGGCTTGTCTGGTCCACCACCGTACTGAGAATCTCAAAGAGCCCGCGGAACGACTGGAAGTTCTCCTTGTTTGTCCTTTCCCTACTCCCGTACACTGCACTGAGCTAGTCGTTCCCAAGGAAGTCTACAAGTCATTCTCACATAAACTCGTGACTGGGAAGTTCTTCTCAAAATAGGGCCTAAATCTCGCTCAGCTCCGGCCCTCCCTGTCATTTCCGTACAGCGGGCCGCGTGCGAAGGGAGTGGGTGTCGTCTCCGGAGGGCAGGACCGCGCGGCAGGGGCTTCTCCCAAGGGGTGCACGGCCCGACTCACCTCAGCACATCCGGCTCGGAGAGGCCCAGGCGAGGAGCTAAGCGCCCTATTAGCCCAGACCCCATAGTGCAGGCCAAAATAACTCTCGCGAATAGCAGCAGCGGGACGAAACCCGCGCGGAGACGCAGCTTTGGCCAGTAAGAGCCAGGCCCCACCCCCGGCGTGATTTAATTGGTTAGAACAAGACGTTGAGGCCATCCCATAAACCAATCCTGGTCTTTCTTCTGCGCTTGCGCAGTACTAGTACGTCAGCCAAGGCAGATATAGTGAACATGGGCAGGCAACTCTCGCCTCTTCTATTCCTTTTTTTGTAATAAATTCCTTAAACACCACCTTTACTATCAGCTGTCTCCTGCCGGCTTTGTGAGCAATACCCGCTGTCCTGCCCCGCCCACTCATACTATACTATAGATACACTGGCTGGCACCGTAGTCCGTCAAGCGTTAAGTGGTGACAGCCAATAAACAGGCGAGACTTGGGTTCCGAGAAGCAGGCCAATCGACGAGCCACCTGCAGGACTTGGAGGCGGGTCTAGAGAGGGCGGAGCTTGGAGTGGCCGCCGCGTCACCTGATCACGGGAGTGTCTGCGCGGGGTGGGTGCTGCTTGCTGCAGGCTCGAGGGAGTCGCCATGGTGAGTGCTGAGGGGGCGGTGGGCCGGGGGACCGACCCTTCCGCAGTCCCTGTTTTCTCCCACCGGCTTGGAACACTGCGGGTAGAATAGAGGCCCCACATCCCGATCGGGGCTGAGACCCGCCCGTCTTGGCCTGCCGGATTGGGGACAGGCCAAGGAAGGCCTCAGGCGGACTGATCCGGGCCGGGGTGGGCGGTAGCTCCGGGCTGCAGCCGTTGCTCCAAGGTGAGGCGGCCTCTCTGTGGGCGTGTCTCGGCCTGGAGGTTCTGGCTGTCGGTGAAGTGGCGTCGGCTACCTTCCTTCTCAGAGAGGAGCCTGGGCCCCAGGTCCGATTGTCCGACCGGGTTGGGGGCCTCCGAGGAGGCGCTGGTACCCGCCCAGCTGTTGCATTTCCACCTTTGTGCTTGGCTGGGCTTGGCCGCCCCACAGCCTTTTCTCTCTAGAAATCCCTTCCAGAGGGGCCGCCGTGGCTCCCTAGCCTTGCCCGGTCTCACAGCCCCTTCTTCTGCAGTGTCTGTCCGTGAATTCTAAGGACCTGCTTAGATGAATTTCCTGCAAGGACGCTTACTGTCTCCACCGGTCCTGACAATCAGATAGGCACTGCTAGTTCCTTTCGTATGTGTTCACTGGGAACGGGACCCTGGCTTACTTGCTGCAAGTAGACAGGCTTCTTAGGGCCTCTCTGTGATGGCAGCAAATCATGGTGCCATCATTAGCAGATAGACGTGAACTTCCTCAAAATGTGAATCCCTGTCTAGTTCCCATAAAGGCAAGTTGTCACTTGCATTTTGTTAGCGTTTGATGTAGTCTGCGCTGTATAAATAATGTTTTTTGGATGCTCATGTGCTGTATGTCTGTATTAATTATTCACTGTGTAGAGACCTCTGTAAATCTGTAAATCACAGATTTCACTTTAAACGTGTAAATAAGAGAAACCATGATTAAATCTTTGACGTACTACTTGTAATATATTGCCTTTCAGGGTGATTTTTCTTATTTCTCAGAAATTTTGCAATAGAGAATGTAACCGGTGTAAAAACTTAACTTTAGGATTTGTTTCTCAATCTTTATGGATTATCATTTTTGTAGTGTTTCGTAATGGAACGAACTTAATTCAGGATCTACTAAACGCTCCAGTTCTGTATTGGGTGAACCAGCCTGGAACAGTGGATTGGGCAAACACAGTTCAGTTGTCATCAGTGTTATAGGGAAAACAAACCTGGGTATCAGTCCTATCACAGCCACTGTTTTTATGAGTTGATCAAGTAGTCTTTGAATGTCACCTTTGCATCTGAAAACAAGTGTTAGCTTCCTTGAAATTAATCAGACATCTTGTATGCTTTAGTGTCATGGACTGTGCTAGATACTAGGTACAATCAAGTGAAAGAGACATACTTGTGGAACTTACTGTAATACAGTGTGAGGTTTGCTATATACCACGATCTACTCAGTGCTTTGGGGTCACAGTGGAAGATTTTGCCTGGGAAGCTTGGGAAAGACTACAGGAGGTAATATGTGAGCAGACAGAAGGCCAGAGAAATTCGCCATATGGACAAGAAAGATGATGACCAATACATGAAGCCATGAGCAGTAAATATTCGTGGTGTACTCCATTGGGGATTCTTGGAGTATTAGTAAGTTAGGACATGTTTGGTATTCAAATTACGGGGTTCTTTGTTGTTTTATTTGTTTGTTTTTCCATGGTGGGGATGGAACCCAGGGTTTTGAGACTTACTGAGCCTAAGGCAAGCATTCTACAATCTGAGCTATATCCCTACTCCACATTTTTTTAAAGCTCTTATCATCTCACCATTCTTAATTCTCCCTACAAATCATTAATTTGTGCCACATGATTTTTTAAATAGCATTTTCATTAGTGTGATAGAATTCTGTATCCGTGGGATTCGTTTTTATTTTACAATTGATTTGCTTGGGATTGTTACATTTTACATCTGCAGCATACAAGGGGAAATTGATTCAACAAATAGGTTGCTGCAATGAGTGGAGGTAATTACTTGCATGTAAAGGGGCTACAATACTAAATGTGTAATATTAAGTGCTTATTTCTACTGGGCACATTTTGGGCTTTATCTGTGTCATTTTGTTTATTCCTCATAACAGTGATTCAAGAACTCTTACTATTTCCATTGAATTATAGAGAAAACAAAAGGACATTGTTTAAATGCAGAGTAGTATTATAAGTGGTCTGTTCATGATGACCTTTGCTTTTCTTTGCTTCTTATATACTTGGGAAGCCAGTTTGTGAGTCTCAAGGTAAAATGGACCTAATCACAAATGTTCATTTGATTTTAATTCTATAGTGTTTCCATTTTTCTCTGACCCACAAGGTCAGTGTCATCATTTGCAAATGGAAACCAGTTTCATGAGCTGATAGACCATGGTTATTTGGCTAGTGTTTAATGATATGATAGGTGTTCATAATATAAGTGTCTGTGACACTTCCAGGAGGAGCATCAAGAATAGCCATTTGTAGCACAACTACAATGAGTAATTTGTAAAAATATGTTTATTATAACTTTTTTTTCATTTGTAGCCTACTTCGTAATTTGTTTTCTTTAATTTTCTACATTTTGTATTTACATTTCTATTAACTGTAAGCTCAGTTGAGGTACAAAATAGAGTTTTGCTGAAGTTCTGTTCACTTGGTTATAGGTCACTGAATCTTTCTAGTTATTCTACACAAGTACTTTGGAACTGTTTTGTTATTTATAGCCTCAGTTTTATTTCCTATATAATAAAAATTATTATATATGGTAGCCAAAATGTGGAAACAACCCACATGTCCAAAAGTGGAAGAGTGAATAAACATACAATGGAATATTATTCACCTTTTAAATGAAGGAAATTCTGACACATACAACCTGGATGAACCTTAAAGACATTAGCTAAATCTAATAAGCTGGATACAAAAGAAAAAGTATTGTATGATTTCAAGCATATGAGGTACCTAGAGTTGTAAAATCTTAAAGTACAATTGCTTGGGGAGGGTAAAGGATGGTGAAAAGATGTTGCTGTTTAATGGATACAGAGTTTCCATTTGGAAAGATGGAGATGGAAGGTGGTAATGACTGTATAATTGTGTGAATGTGATAAACTTTACTGTTACAAAAATGTCATGGCTGGATGTCCTGGCTCATGATTGTGATCCCAGATACTCATGAGGTGAAGTGGAGGATGGTGGTTTGAGGCAAAAAGTTAGCAAGGCCCTATCTCAACAAAAATAAGGTGAGCATGGAGGCGTGTACCTGTCATCCCAGCTACTTGTAAGTAGAAGGATCCCAGTCTAGGCCAGTGAGGCAAAAACATGAGACCCTATCCAAAATATAACTAAAGCAAAAAGGGCTGAGTATGTGACTCAAGTAGTAGAATGCCTGCCTAACAAGTTTTAGGCTACAATTTAACCCCCAGTATTTACAGGTTGGGGGGGGGGGCAAAGTCATGTATCTAAGTTGACCATTTGAGCTTAATAAAATTCATTGGTTGTGATTATTGTTACCTATTGCATCCAGAAGTAAGGAGTCTAAAAAAATCCAAACATAGGTTGGTGTCACTAAAGTTCTCAGAAGACTAGCTCATGATAAGTAATAAATTTCATTAACTCCAAATTCTTTAGTTCTGGTATCCTCCTGAACCAAGCATTTTGTGCTTTCTGTATAAATTAATGTTCTCATTAAGATTAAAAAACACTTAACTTTTTCTTTGAAATTTATTTATGGTTCTTGACGAAGAGTGTTTGCAGAACTCAACTTACTAGTTTGTAAGTTTGTATTTACTAGTAAGTACTTAGGAGACTCTAAGTTCAAACCCTAGCACCACCAAAATTAAACCAAGAAAAAGTCTTCAATTTTTATAAACTATCGTAGTTCAGAAGTGGGTTTATGGCTGGGTACTGGTGGTTTGTGCCTGTAATCCTAGCTACTTGGGAGGCTGAGATTGGGAAAATTGTGGTTTAAGGCTAGCTCAGGCAAAAAGTTCACATGATCCCATCTCCGAAATAACCAGAATAAAATGAGCTGGAGGTACGGCTCAAGTGGTAGAGCACTTGCTTTGCAAGTGTGAAGCCCTGAGTTAAAATCCCAGCCTCACCAAAAAAAAGTGGGTTTTCTCAAAATGTTTTTATTCTCTTAGATATGAAACAGATCAGATTTTATTTTACTTTCATGCTTAGGTGTCTTTGACTTCCACCTTTTCTAACTTATTATGTAAGAGGCATTTTGTCTTGATTCAGTTTTTAAAATTAAGGTGAAATTGACTTAAACCATTTTAAATTGAATAATTCAGTGACATTTTTATACATTCGAAATATTATACAACTACCACATCTATTTTGTTCCAAAAACATTTTCATTACCTTAAAAGAAAACCCTGTACTCACTAAGTAGTGATTCCCCAACTCCTTCCTTCTGGTAACCACCAATCTACTTTCCGTTTTTTTATGAATGATTTATCTGTTGAGCATATTTCATAAAGATGGAATCATACAATAAATATGCAGTCTTTTGGGCTGGGGGGTGTGGCTCCAGTAGTAGAGTACTTTCCTAGCAAGTACAAGGCCTTACACCACCTACCACAAAAACCCACCACCAACAACAAAAAACAATGTGCAACTTGACTTCATTCATTTACCATAATGTTTTCTAGTCTCATTCATGTGGCATATATCAATACTTTAGTCCTTTTTATGGCTGAATAATAATTTTAGTGTGTGTGTGTGTGTATAAATATATATTTATCCACTCATCTGATATTTAGTCATTTTAAAATTAAATATACAATCTAAATGTTCTAGAACCAGTTTATTTATGTAGCAAATGTTTATGAAGTACCTATTCTGCACTTTGGTTTTCAAAGACATAAAATGACCATCATTTATAATTATAATGGATACATGCTATGGTAGAGATGTTTACACTACATGAAAGAGTGGTGAGTTATACTTGATAGGGAGAGCTGATTTATTGTGTAAGCACATTTTTGCTGATGGCAGAAAAGAGTTCATTACACCTGTTGATCTGTGTATTTGAAATGATATAAGCTAGGTATTTGAGAGTATTCCTTATCATTTTCTATTATAAGTCTAACAGTTTTAGCTATTTTATTAGCAAGTTGTTTAGTCCCTTGTTAAGTATTTCCTAAGACAGCGTGGGGTCAGCCTTCTTATAAACTAGTTCCTTGGTCTAAAGAATAGTCTCAAATACAGATGAAAAGTAGTTGAAAAAGAAAGAGACTGTCAGAAATTTGGATTAGACTATACCTATCACAAGAATTAGATTGGTTTGATAGCTATGTTCTGGTTGAATTCAGAGCATATTAGTAGAGCATAGCCAGAAACTACTACCACAGTTTTCTTGAGGGCAGCTTGCTACAACAATATTGAGTCAATTCAATACTTGTCAAAAATTGATAAATTAGTTTGAGACTCAGAATGAGTTTTATGTGAAAGTCTTGGAGGAGGACGTTAGCTAGAATGATAAAAATAAACAGTTTGCTAGAAGAAAGTATTTATGAGACACTAATGGAAGTATTTTTAAAAAAATTTCAGCCTACAACACAGCAGTCGCCTCAGGATGAGCAAGAAAAGCTCTTAGATGAAGCCATACAAGCTGTGAAGGTCCAGTCATTCCAAATGAAGAGATGCCTGGTAAGAATGAAAATGTGAGGAGAGATAAAGTAGTAGATTGTAGCTTCCTAAGGAAGCATCTATAGTGTTTTCTAAAGTTAAGTAGCCCTGCGGCTTCTGGTAAATCTAATCTTCAGTGTCCACCACATCTGTCTTCAGATTGGCCTCTGTCTAGCACTGTGTAGAGCACTTTTTGCTTATTCAAAATTATACTTAGGGTTTGGATTTTTCTGTCTTCCCTATTAGACTGTAAGCTCATAAAGCAAAAAATCTTGCCTTTTATTTACACATTACTCTATCATCACCACACTAATATCTGACCTGAATTACCTCTCTGGTTCTGTATCAAATCACAGGAGTATTTTAACATATAAAGGATACTCACTGAATATTTGTTAAATGAATGGATTTAAATGCTGTCAGTTTGAATTATTCAGCTGTTCTGCCTCTATCTTGAAAGCTTTAATTTCTTCCTATATAGATATATTTATTACAGAAACTAGCTTAAAAATTACACTGATGCCTAGTTACACATTTTCATATTCTAGAAGATAGGAAGTAATCTATAGATACTATAGATCTTCTGGATTAAAATTTAAGGAATTGAATCAAATATGCTAATACTTTAAGGCCCACATTGCTGTAGTGGTGTTGATGACACTTTATAAAGGATCTTACATTTTCCAAGGCTTAGTATTATGCTCTCATATCTTACTGTTTTGTTTCCCTGCAAACAAATTTGTAAAGAAAAATAAATGTCTTGGAATAGAAAAAATGGGTTTGTTCTTGTTTACTTCTTTCTCTTTCTGTGTTTGGTTAGTGTTTCCTATATCTCAAGGGATTGGGACATGTAGGCATTGCAAAAGTCTGAAGAACACAGGAGAAAAATAAACTTAAATGGATAGTTGTTCCAGACAGCTCTGAAGAGTCTTTAACCTATGATAAAGCCATTGTCAAGATAGTTATCTTGCTTCAAAACAATTAGCATGCCAGATCTCTTGACCACAGGTAAAATGTGAATAATAGGCTAGGCATAGTGGCTCACCTCTGTAATCCCAGCTACTCAGGAGGATCAAGGTCTGAGTCTGGCCTCAGGCAAAGAACTTGAGACACTGTCTGAAAAATAACTACAGCAAAAAGGGCTGTAGACAAGTGATAGGGCACTTGTATAGAAAGCATAAAACCCTGAGTTCATACTCCACTATTGTGCTCCCCCTGCCCCTCAAAAAAAGTAAATTAATGAATGAAGCTAATTTCTTAGTCTCTAGAGATTGAAAAGATAGAAGTTATACTGCTAGGAAGCTTGCTGTCCTTGATACACTAAGTATTCTAAACTTTGTAGCCCTGCTGAGGAATTATGCATCTTTTTGTTCTCATTGGAGACAAGGCAAAGAGAAACTACGTGAGGGTGATTTTTATGTGATTAAAATAATTAAGTGCTCTATACTCTTTAAACTGTGCAGTAATAGATCCTTGATATATAGTTTATATAACCAAGATAAATTTTTATTTAAATTAAGCATCTCATCTATTCTCTTGGTATTTTTATAGGACAAAAACAAGCTTATGGATGCTCTGAAACATGCTTCTAATATGCTTGGTGAACTCCGGACTTCTATGCTGTCACCAAAGAGCTACTACGAACTTTGTATCTTTTGAATGTAGAAATATTTGACTGTACTTCTTGATGGCAAATTTTGTTCTTTATTAAATTTTTCTGGAGTTACATTATTCTTCATTGTCTTAGTTAAATGGTATTCCTTCTCCATGCAGATATGCTAAGTGAATAAAAGGAAAATTTGCTTTCAGATTACTCTTTTCAGATTAGCCTCTCTTTTTTTGCTGCACTGGGGATTGAACTCAAGGCCTCCCTCATTCTAGCCAGTCACTGCCACTGAGCTAAACCCTTAACCCTATGCTAAAACTTCCTTAAATGGATTGTTGCTATATCTCAGTTTTCAGATCTTTCTTTCTTAATGTTATTAGGTGATTTGTTGGTTTTGTTTTGTTTTGTTTTTTTAACATGGGAGTCTCTTACTATGTTATCCCTGTTGGCCTTGAACTCCTAGGCTCAAGTGTTTCTCCCACTTAAGCCTCCCAAGTAGCTGGGACTATAGGTGCAGGCACATGCTGGATTAACAATCTTTTTTTTTGGGGGGGGGGGG